GGGGCAGCCCATGCCCAAACCCAGGAGGTAAACCCATTCATTCTTGAGCGGAGAAGAGCCAATACCCCAGACCCGGCCCAGGCCATGCCCCGCCGACAGGATACCCCCCCACCATGAAGAGGACACGCCACCGACCACCCCCACACACCGCCAACAACCAAGCACGCACCCCCAGCCGACCGCCCGCCAGGCCCCGGCAGCCACCCCGGCCAGCGGGCCAACCATGGCACCCAAGAGCCAAGCTCAGGGGGTCCAAACAACCCCAGGGAGAGCACAGCGCCAGCACCGCCCATGGCACCCCCCAGACCCTGAACCCCCACATAATCCTGGTCAACACCCGACGGCCTGCCCTTCTCCCGGACCCCACCCCCGGAATGGCAGTCAGGGAACTAGGTGGGTAGGAAGAGGAGAAAAAAATAAATAAATAAATAAAATAAATAAATAACTAAAAATAAGACCCCGACACATACACCCCCACCCCTAGATGTGCTGTTGATGTGTGTTGTTGTATAGTGCCATTAAAAAGGAAAGAAGAAGGAGCAAAGGCTGGCATGGTGCCAGTTTCCCCTCCACCCCAACTCTATCCAAACCCTAGTGTCTAAATGTAACCGTTGTAAGTGAGCACAGGCACAGGGGGTGAGAGTCAGGTCATCCCACCACCCATAGCCATGTGCCCACCTCAAATTCCTATTATATGAATGTCATGAGGATGTTATGAATGAATGTCTAAGGTGTACAATAAAATTGAGTCCCAGGTGGCTATGGTCAACAAAGATGTAAAATTGTTGCAGCACACCCGAGCCCAAACAACCCTAAATGTATGGAATTGAAATGAAGAGGGTGGAGGTGCATGGTGAGGGATGGGGAGAAATAACTGTGAGAGCAAATGCTCCCACAGGGGGTCAGCTCCCCCACTGACCCAACAGCCCCCCCCCCCCCCCCCCCCCCCCAAGGTCCACCCAGGGATTGAGGCCAAGACACCTCTCCATCTGGACCGACCGTCAGGCCCGCTGAGCTCCAGACCAGAGAGGGACAGAGCCCCGAGGGCCGCCAGAAGCTGCACCAGCAGCCTACACACCCGAGGGCCACCAGGACCCCCACAGATCGCAGTCAGCCCGCTACCAGATGGAGCCAAACCCCACCAGGACGACCCGGCCAAGAGCGCCCGCCCAACCGCCGACAGTGCCAGGAAGTACCGGGAGCGAGCCCCCACCACAGGAAAGGGGCCAGCCAGCCGGCCATGCACAGTCCCGGGCCGCCCCCAAGGACATCCACCCCATCCCCACTCCAGAAGAAATACTACACCCACCCCTCATTCGGACATCTCTCAAAACACATAGCACACTAGACACCTAGGCTGGGTCAAACTACCCCCTCCTAGGGGCCACTGGTCATGCCCCCAAACACCCAACCCCCCAGCCCATGACCCACAACCCACCAGCGAGCCGAAGGCCCCCGCCCAGAACCGGGCACCAGAGCGCAAGCCGGCCCAGAGCCCGGCAACCCACCCGCCAGAGCCCAAGATCCCCTAACCCCACAGGCCCAAGCCCGGGGGCGACAAGCCCCCAGAACCCCAAGCCCCCGCGCCCACCCCGAACCCACATCAGCACAGCCAGGCTACCAGATCGGTGACCTACGACCGCCGCCATAGACCACCTGAGGGCCTGCATGCAGCCACCAGCAGACATCCCCCAGAACCACCCAGGCCCTCCCCAGAGGGAAAGCAGTGCCCCCCTGCCCAGGTACCCCCAAGAGCCCAGCCCCCGGCAACCCCCCCGGGGACCCAAACCCATACACCCACCTCCACATCAACCCCAAGGCCCCACAAGGTCAGATCCCAGACTACCCACCCTCACTATGTAACGGAGCCGATCAAAGGAGCCCACAGAGATTGATCCAATGTATCGGCAGATGCTGTTTCAAGACTGATATGATCTAACAGCAGATTTTTATACTGATTAATGCTAAGATTATTTTTATTTTTCCAATTCAGGAGTATGGTTTTCTTTGCGATGCATAAGGCTGTGAAAATCATGCGACATGTATTTTTTTCCAGGGTAACATCTTCCAAGATAGCCAATAAGCAAACAGACGGAGAGAGTGGAATATTACATTTCAGACATTTAGACAAATCTTCACAAACCTGGACCCAGAACCTCTGAACGGGTGGGCAGAACCAGAGTGCATGGATATAATCATCAGGAATATTGCCTGTGCACTGTGAGCAGTTGTTAGATGATGTAAATCCCATCCTAAACATTCGCTGACCTGTATAATGTACTCTATAAAGAACTTTATACTGTTTTAATTGTAAGTTGGAGATTCTAGTCATTTTAAATGTTCTTAAACATATTTGAGACCAGGTGTTTTGGTCAAAATTGATTGATAAATCTGACTCCCATTTTGCAACAGGTAGCATTATGGAGTCATTGATTCTAGACAATTTCTTGTATATTTTAGATAATAATTTGGGGGATTTAAGATTAAGGAACTCTAACACATATATTGGTGTTTCTAACAAAGTTTTATTAAGCTTAAATTTCTTTTTTATGATAGACTTAATTTGTTGATATTGTAAGAAGTATTTATTTTCAATGTCAAATTGTATTATTAAATTATTAAATGGAATAAAGTCTACACCTTCATATATGTGTTCCAGACGTTCAATTCCCTTGACTCTCCAACCTGGGAAATTTAACATATTATTTTCTTGTAGGATGTCAGGATTGTTCCAGATGGGTGTATGTCTACAGGGGAGTAGTGAAGATTTTGTCATTTTCAAATACTCCCACCATGCTGTCAGAGAAGAGCTAATACTGATGCTTTTAAAGCAAACATGTCTTTTTATATTTGTGCTAATAAACGGTAGATCTGAAATCTTAATATTATTGCATAAAGTTTGTTCTATGTCTATCCAAGTTTCATCTAATGTATTTGGATTTAACCACTTTGAGATATATTGTAACCTATTGGCTAAATAGTAGTGATAGAAGTTGGGAAGTTCTAAACCTCCGGTATCTTTAGATTTCTGTAATGCTTTTAAGCTAATACGTGGAGTTTTGTTTTTCCAAAGGAATTTAGATATCAAAGAGTCCAGTGACTTAAACCATTCAGTTGAAGGTTTATTTGGAATCATTGAGAATAAATAGTTTATTTTCGGCAGGACCATCATTTTTACTGAGGCAACTCTTCCCATAAGTGATATGGGCAGAGATTTCCATCTAGTAAGATCATCTTCAATGTTCTTTAAAATTGGTATATGATTCAATTTTATTAAGTCTTCCAATCTAGGAGAAATATTAATGCCCAAGTATGTAATGTTACCTGATTGTAGTCGTTCATTGAGAGAAGTATTAAACACGCAGTTTATTGGAAGAGCTGTGGATTTTGACCAATTTATAGAATAATCAGAAACTTTTGAGAATGAGTTTATTAATTCGATAACATTAGATATTGAATTTTCTGTGTTCTGAAGAAAAAGTAAAACATCGTCAGCATAAAGACTAATTTTATGTTCTATATTTCTACACAGTATACCTTTGATATCAGCAGTTTGTCTTATTGCTGCTGCTAAAGGTTCAATAAAAATAGCAAATAGTGCAGGTGAAAGTGGACATCCCTGCCTGGTCCCCCTCTGTAAACAGAAGCTTGAAGATATTTGATTATTTGTCCTGACACATGCTCTTGGTGAGTTATATAATATTTTTAACCAATTAATGAAATGGTCCCCAAAACCAAATTTACTCAATGTAGAAAATAAAAATTTCCAGTTTACCCTATCAAATGCTTTTTCTGCGTCCAAAGACAAAATAGCTGTTTCAATATTTTTACTATATGAATACTCTATTAAATTATATAATCTGCGTGTGTTTGTGGTCGAGTGTTTGGAATTCTTGTCCAAATATTATTAACGAGCAGAGTGGTTAAAGAACTGCTGCTAGCTAGCTAGTCACGTAGCATTTTGTTTTTCTAGGAAAGACTTCAAATGTCTTCTTTAGAATCTCTGCCAAAATAATACCCTGAGAAAACCGAAACCTCAATTATTATTATTATTATTTATTTCCAGTTTTATGTATTGTCTTGGATTTTTGACCACGGTGTAAGTTAGCTTAGCATAATGCTAGCTGAGGCAATGGACGCCACGAGTCGCCTCTGTTTTAACCAGTCATGCTAGCCGACGACGAGAAAAAACATAAATCTACATTTTAGAAGCAGCGCAACATTTCTATTGTTTTCCCGAATAAAAGGTAAAACAGTTTAGATCTACGTCTGATCAGAATTTCATCTTTTTACATTTTTTTGTCAATTTTGAATGACTGTGTACCCATTTAAAACAACTGATCTGTGGTGAGAACAGGGAACAGGTGGAAGAGAACTTGGAGAGGTGGAGGTATGCACTTGAAAGAAGAGGAATGAAAGTCAGTCGTAGTAAGACAGAGTCCATGTGTGAATGAGAGGAAGGAGGTGGAACAGTGAGGCTACAAGGAGCAGAGGTCACAAAGGTGCAGGACTTCAAGGACTTGGGGTCCACTGTCCAGGAACATGGGGAGTGTGGTAAAGAGGTGAAGAAGAGAGTCCAGGCAGGATGGAGGGATGGAGAAAAGTTTCAGAAGGGATTTATGACAAAAGGGTGTCAGCAAAGGTCAAAGGTGAGACCAGCTATGTTTTATGGTCTGGAGACAAAGACAAGAGACAGAACTGGAAGTGTCAGAAATGAAGATGCTGAGGTTCTCCTTACGAGTGACAAGGATGGAGAAGATCAGGAATGAGATCATCAGAGGTACAGCACAGGTTGAACAACTGGGAGATGAAGTTAGAGAGGACACACTGAGCTGGTTTGGACATGTCCAGAGGAGGGACAGTGGTTTGGACATGTCCAGAGGAGGGACAGTGGGTATATTGGTAGAAGGATGTTAGAAATGCAGCTGCCAGGACAAAGACAAAGAGGAGATGCATAGATCCAGTTAGAGAGGACATGGAGGTAGTTGGAGTGAGGACAGAGTGGGGACAGAGGACACATTCATTCAACCTTTATACAGGTTAGTCTCATTGAGTCACGAGGACTCATTTACAAGAGAGACCTGTTTACACAGGTCGGCTGTGGCTGAGTGGTTAGAGCAGTTGTCCTCCAATGCAAGAGTTGGGGGTTTGATTCCAGCAGCACTCACATGCTGAAGTGTCCCTGGGCAAGACACTGAACAGAGAGGATGCAGAGGACAGAGTGAAGACATAGTGAGGACAGAGTGAGATGGAGGAGCCCTGAAGATCTGATACAGTAATAAGCTGATGCAACATTTAGGTATTTTCAGTGTTTCTGTCTTGTGTGGTTCATTCTACATTAGATTAGTTGTGTTTATTTGTTAAATTCTGTCTTTTAAATTAAACAACAGTTTTGTTGAACTTTAATCTTATTGATCCCCTACGAATGAGAATTGATTTGTATTGTCTCTGATCTCTTAAGAGCGCTCCCTCAATGTGAAAGCTTCGTCGTACTCCTCTCCCTCCTCCACCTCCCTGCTCCTGACCCCCGGCGACTCGCTGGCCCTGCTCTGCTCCGTGTTCGCCGACAACCTGCCCGCCCTCACGCTGGAGGTGTCCTGGCTGGCCGACGGCAACGAAATCATCACCATGGACCGCAGCGGCGTAGTGATCTCCAACACGTCCTCCAACGGCGCGCTAGGAAAGCGAGGGGAGGTGACTTTGGAGAGGACCGAGGTCGGGGAGTACCGGCTGGGAGTGAGGGCGGTGAGCGGCGAGGATGGAGGGGCTTACACCTGTCGGACCCGAGCCTTCATTGAGAAAGGAGGACGCAGCGCGGGGATTGGAAGGTGGCAGCTGACGGCGGTGAAGACGTCCACCCCTTTGACGGTGAAGGTCTCAGAGCGCAGTGAGTGAATCCGATCGGCTCTCGAGCTTTAAATGTGTTTTATTATTTCCTGTTGTCTTTAGAATTTAATTTCAGCATCCTGTTTTAGGCCACAAACAGAACTGCTGTTAAAATTTGTAAAAAAAAAAAAAAAAAGTAAAAAACAGGATATACACGGCGTCAAAAGGCGTATACGTTTTAACGGTATAGTCTCTGCGCCATAACTTCTGATCCGCTCAAGATAAATTAACAAAACCTCATACACACATGCATCTTCACTAGACAGAGTGCCGCATACACCTTTCATCACCCCGGCCTCGAGGTCAAGGCCAAAGGTTATACAAGGTCTGTGCTTGTCCATTGTTAGAGATTCCTGTGGAACAGTTCGTCAGCGGGCGTGTAATGTACCGTGCTCAAACACTTGATCATCATGAACTCATGTTTTGGTGCATTTACGAGTTGCTGCTGTGGATCCTTTGTTGATAAAAAGAAGACGAGCCAAGGCGAAGGGTAAAGGGGTGTGCGCTGCAGCGGTATAATTTCTTTGAACGTGGACGTGGAACAGTTCTGCACTCGGCTCTGGAATCTCGAGAGGAAACTCTTTAATTCTCCAGTCACCCTGTCATCTCCCGCTGCGAGGACGATTGATTAGTCATGGCTTTCCTGCTGTCTGCTACCGCTGGGCGTGCAGTTCATGTGTACGGGTGTGCGCGTGCACGATTCCGTGATCCTGCCTCGAAGAGCAGCCATGTCAGACGCACTCGACGCAGCCATCAATTACTGGCCTGGTGGGAGGTCTCTGTGGAGGCTTTCTTTCTCTGCCTCCACCCTTTCTCTCCATCTCTGAACATCGTGTTGCGTTTGCTCCCATTAAGGTGAACCTAGCGTTGTTGCACTTAGTTGCAAGATTAGTTTCAGAATACCTTCTAAATGTGAAGGATTAAAGAAATGTGATCATTCCAACCTGCTTGTCAAGATTATTTAGTTAAACTTTTAAAATCTCATATTTTATCATCAACAAAGTATCAAATTGCTGTTTGATTCCATTGACTGTTATTATTGAGGACAAAGCCGAACTATCCGGCTCCTCTGCACCGCAGAACCGGTTCTGAATCAACACAAACCTCATCGTTGTTGCTCTGTTGCTGAATTATGTGCCAGATGCACCAAATGGTGTTCGTCTGGTTTTAATTTGGGGAGAATTTTGGATTGAGATTATAGCCAGCGATGTAGGTTTACTGGGCTGCAACTGCCAGAGACTAGTTGGCGACTCAAAACTGAGGAAGTGGGCATATTGGGTGTTTACGACCATAAAACAGACAATCTTTGTAAAATCTTTATTTTTTATGTAATCATTGCTCACAAAACTACGTTTTAGGTCAGGTTTCGGTTCGGGTTAGAAATGACAGCTCTACCTCCCGTGCACGCTCCCGCAGCCGCCATTTGGCAGCCAATCGATTTTGCCACAACATTGACCCACATTTCCGGGTCGTCAGCGGTGACGCATAATAGATGGGACGTTTACGGCAAAGCGACGTATTTATGGATTTTTCCACATATCAGACATACTTGGACTGATGCGACTTATAGGGCGGTGCGACGTGTACGTCAGAAAATACGAAAAAGAAAAAAAAAAAAAGAAGAAAAAAAAATACGGTAGTTTATTTTTGCATTTTTTTATTTTTCTTTGCAGATTGGGGTCAGAAGGTTCCCATTACTCTAAAAACCAAATTTCAGTTTTCTATGACAAGCAGCTCTCTAAAATATCAATGTCCTCAAACGCAGACACTTGGTCTCAGGAGGTACTGAAGACATCCTTGGGTGAACTACACAAACCTTGCTAAAAAAAGTAATTGCATAATGACAACAGGAAGAGCCCAACTCGTATTATAACTTATTTTCCTTTTATTGCTATTGTTTTGATCCAGTGGAACATTTTAAGTTATGTTTTGTTTGCCTTTTGAAGTTGATTTTACGACGTTCATTTTGGTGCTTGCTGACTCATAGCAGGGTGTTACGTCCATCCCGGACGAGCCCCCATTTAATGTTATGTCCACCATGAACATAACACATTAAGGAGGACTCAAATATGGCGGTTCAGACATTCAATTTATTAAAAAGGCTGCTGCTTCCTGAAAAAAAGAGATTTTGAACCCCCAATTCCCATGTCCACCCAAGGAACACAAAAACCCAAAGTATTCATTTAAAGGTGGACCTGGTGAACCGGCCAAACCAAACAAAAAATGTATAGGGTTGGCCCGCTGCTGTACAGGGCCGTCGAAGCCGCTGCTGATACCAGACTAAAGCTACAAAAAACCTTAAAAAAAATACATCCATTACAAAAGAAAGAGAGAAAACAGGACAACCGGTCTGACCAGGCCAAAGTTACAAAAAATATACAAAAAGTTAACAAAAATTACCTGAGGTGGCTGGGGCCTCCGATAGCAGGCCAAAGCTCCAGGACAAAGAAGAAAAAACAAGGGCAGCCAAAAACAAAAGGTCCAAAAATGTGGGAGCATGAGAGGAGCAAAAACAGAGGGAGTCCGAGAGAGAGCGCTCCCTGAAACCAACCTATTTATGGGCGGGCAGAAAAGGCCACAGCCCAAAACAATTAAAGGCTGATTAGCCAACCCAACCTGTCCAAAGGGACAAACTAATAAGGCCAATGTGCCTGGCACATAACAGGGTCACAATCAGATTTTCTTGTAACATCAGCATTATTCTGCCAAACTCCACGGAGAGACATAACGGTGTTGATCCATGCTGACATGCCCACAGCCAAGAAGCTCTAAATACATTGGGCATTATATAAATATCATTTAAGGTATTTTATTCTCCTCATCCCATGGGCATGAATCTAAAAAGACAAACAGATTGTAGCCACGGCCCGGAAATAAAATATTTAGACTTCAGGTCAGAATAAACTTAAAAGCAAAGACAAGATCCAAAAGCTTTTGAAAAGCGTCCACTAGCTGGACTGAGAGGAGATATTATGTAAGGAGTATTTATTCATTGAGGTCCACTTCTCTCAGCGAGATAAGGGAATTGGGAGTTTGTCAGGGATCCAGCCGCAGTCATTTGATCTGCTCGAGTATGTCTTTCCATCAGAGGGTTCCCCTTGATTAAAACTCACACAGTGTTCACGTGGAGCGCAAGAAGAATCCTGAAGAATTGTTGGCGGAGCCTTAAAGGGACAGGTTTCCAATCAGCTGGCGGAGGACTGAAGAGTCACTTATTTAAATAATACCAGAAGCTCGAGGCGTCGTCTACAAACACACGGAGCCAGACGCTGGCCACGGTTCAAGTTGCAGCTTCGTGGCGATGTTCAAACGAAGCCTTCGTGTCCATCAGGGCTGGTTTTACGCAGAGTCCTTCACAACGTCCCAGCTGTCAAAGCAAACTGGATCTCCAGTGATAACGTCTGCGATTAGTCTGCAGTGCCCGTGCCCAGAGCAGAAACACCGGTCCAGTCCTTATGTGTGGCCCCATTACTCATCTACATTTACTCATTACTTCGGCTACATTTAACCAACTTTTAGCTGAAGTGAAAATTAAACATGCGCCAACTAATCAGCTCGTGACTGAATCATCCGATCTTTAGCTAGACGAGCAAACGGACGACCCAACACTTCAAAATACCATTTCCCCAGTACCTGGATTAGGGCCGGGTCATGCCGTTAAAATGTGATTAATGGGCGGGGCGGGGTGGTCTCGGGCTTATAATTAGATCAGGATCAGGGTTAGGGTTAGACTTGCTGGCTCTCTTTGTCTTTTCAGGCGAGAAACCGCAGTCCAGACCTGGAATTACCGTAAAAACTAGAAAAAGTTCAAGGAACTCCTCTGATTATACACGACATAGCTTATCTATAATAAACAAATGTTGGCATGTAGAAACAAAACTCTTTAATTCTGTTGATATTTAAGGACAGGTTTGGGTCCGGATAAGACTTCATCAGGTCCAGATCTGGACCTAGTCCACCTGATGGGGTTCAGTTCTTCTTTCTGATTGAAACCCACTGACCTGTCAGAAAGGAGCTTTTATTTTTTCCATCGATTCGAGCCGCGGTCGTGTTCCTCCTGTGTCTCCTCCCGCTCCATTGAGCCTTGGCCAACCGTGACCCTGCCCTCGCTCCAACAGTTCTCCCGACTCACTGACTTTTCGTTCCCTAAAGACCCCCGCAGACCAGAAATACCTCACGAGCTGGTTTTGGGATGCCGCTGTCGCCCGACCCTCGTTACAATTTGGCTCTCGTCAGTTTCACCTGGATTTATTCACCTGCCGTTTAATTTAGCTTCTAAATACTTTAATGACAAAGCGTTCGTTTCCTGCCCGGTGTTTGCCGCTCGCTGCCAGGTGCCGGTGTAACGAGCTAATTAACGTTTTCCGCTCCGCCTGTCGGAGCGCATAATCTTAAAACTGATCAGTGTAAATTATTATATCCCTGCACAGAAAACATTTAAATACTGTTGATGGGCACGGAATCATTCCTAACAACGCCCAAAATCACCCCCCTTCAGCTCTTGCAGCTAAAAGTCTTTCAAACAGAATAAAAAAGATGTTTGATTGATTATTTCCTACTTATAACGATTATTTCTGGTAATAAACCTGGCATTGTTAGAAAGCATCAGAGGATATTCTGCTGTTTACTCTTGTTTTGTGTCATTTATTACATTATCTGATTGAAGTCTGAAGAAAAACATTGGAAATGCAACAAACAGGGCCTCAGTAGCATGTGGAAGAACCATATACAGCGACAAGAGCGTGGCTCCTCCCCCTCGTGCTGCTCACCAGCATTTGTGGTACGTGAGATGTAGGCCTGTCAGTGTCTCACTTCAAACATCCTTCAGAAATGTACCCGTTTCAGCCATTTTGTTTTTGTTTCACACGACAAACACAAGAAATGCCACTGGCTACGTATCCGGTCATTAAACACGAGCGTTTTATTTAAACTGGACTTGGTCTCGGTGGACGGAACAGATTCTGCTGGCAGGCAGGAACCATTAGCTGAAAGAAGACCGGT